ACTCATACTTACCTGGCAGGGAGATACCATGATCAAGAGTGGTTCACCCAGGCGAGGCTTAGCCATTGCACTCCGGTTGTGCTGACCCCTGCGAATTCCCCAAATGTGGGAATCTCGCCTGCATAATTTGTGGTAGTGGGGACTGCGTTCGCGCTCATCCCCGTTATTGTGTCAAAAAAGAAAGGAGTCCTGGGCTGCGCGCGAGTCTGTCAACGTCCAGTCAGCGTATGCTTGCGGCAGTGTAAATGTTCACGGCCCCCGTTCCTTTGGCAGTTTGCCCAAGGTGGCAGCGTGTTGAGTAATGCCCAGGTCCCGATGGCCGCAAGAGAGGGGGTGTGTCCTTTTAGGTGGGACAAAATGAATTGCGTGTTGGCCTCTCTGATTTGTTCTTTCTTTGTGCAAGAAATGTCCTCCAGGCATGCTTCCAGCTAGCATGCTTAGGTTTTAGGCCTTTACGCGGATGTGTTTGCTTTTTCAGAGACAGAAAGACACTGCGAATTCCCCAAATGTGGGCATCTCGACTGCATATTTGTGGTAGTGGGGGACTGCGTTCGCGCGCTCTCCCCTGTTATTATGTCAGGAAAAGAAAGGACAAATGAATTGCGTGTTGGCCTCTCTGAGATTGTTCTTTCTTTGGAAGAATGTCCCCCAGGCATGCTTCCATTGCTAGCATTCTTGGGTTTAGGCTTTTCCTCCGCGGACGTGTTTGCTTTTTCAGAGACAGAAAGACTCTGACCTCTGGGATTATGCGTTGTAGCACCCTCAGCCAGAGTGCTGTGTCTGGGACCGACCACCCTGTCTCTGACACTTTCAACTCATACGTACCTGGCAGGGAAGATACCATGATCAAGAGTGGTTCACCCAGGGCGAGGCTTAGCCTTTCACTCCGGTTGCTGACCCCTGCGAATTCCCCAAATGTGGAATCTCGACTGCATAATTTGTGGTAGTGGGGGACTGCGTTCTCGCTCTCCCTCCTGTTATTGTGTCAAAGGAAAGAAAGGAGTCCTGGGCTGCGTGCCGCAGTCTGTCAACGTCCAAGTCAGCGTATGCTTGCGGCAGTGTAAATGTTCACGGGCCCCCGTTCCTTTGGCAGTTTGCCCAGAGAGTGGCAGCGTGTTGAGTAATGCCCAGGTCCCGATGGCCGCAAGAAGGGGGTGTGTCCTTTTAGGTGGGACAAATGAATTGCGTGTTGGCCTCTCTGAGATTGTTCTTTCTTTGTGCAAGAAATGTCCTCCAGGCATGCTTCCATTGCTAGCATGCTTAGGTTTTAGGCCTTTACGCGGATGGTGTTTGCTTTTTCAGAGACAGAAAGACCTGCGAATTCCCCAAATGTGGGCATCTCGACTGCATAATTTGTGGTAGTGGGGGACTGCGTTCGCGCTCTCCCTGTTATTATGTCAAAGGAAAAGAAAGGACAAATGAATTGCGTGTTGGCCTCTCTGAGATTGTTCTTTCTTTGTGGAAGAATGTCCCCCAGGCATGCTTCCATTGCTAGCATGCTGGGTTTTAGGCTTTTCCGCGGACGTGTTGCTTTTTCAGAGACAGAAAGACTCTGACCTTTGGGATTATGCGTTGTAGGCACCCTCAGCCAGAGTGCTGTGTCTGGGACCGACCACCCTGTCTCTGACACTTTCAACTCATACTTACCTGGCAGGGAGATACCGATCAAGAAGGTGGTTCACCCAGGGCGAGGCTTAGCCATTGCACTCCGGTTGTGCTGACCCCTGCGAATTCCCCAAATGTTGGAATCTCGACTGCATAATTTGTGGTAGTGGGGACTGCGTTCGCGCTCTCCCCTGTTATTGTGTCAAAGGAAAGAAAGGAGTCCTGGGCTGCGCGCGCAGTCTGTCAACGTCCAAGTCAGCGTATGCTTGCGGCAGTGTAATGTTCACGGGCCCCCCGTTTCCTTTGGCAGTTTGCCCAGAGAGTGGCAGCGTGTTGAGTAATGCCCAGGGTCCCGATGGCCGCAAGAAGGGGGTGTGTCCTTTTAGGTGGGACAAAATGAATTGCGTGTTGGCCTCTCTGAGATTGTTCTTTCTTTGTGCAAGAAATGTCCTCCAGGCATGCTTCCATTGCTAGCATGCTTAGGTTTTAGGCCTTTACGCGGATGTGTTGCTTTTTCAGAGACAGAAAGACACTGCGAATTCCCCAAATGTGGGCATCTCGACTGCATAATTTGTGGAGTGGGGGACTGCGTTCGCGCTCTCCCCTGTTATAGTCAAAGGAAAAGAAAGGACAAATGAATTGCGTGTTGGCCTCTCTGAGATTGTTCTTTCTTTGTGGAAGAAATGTCCCCCAGGCATGCTTCCATTGCTAGCATGCTTGGGTTTTAGGCTTTTCCGCGGACGGTGTTTGCTTTTTCAGAGACAGAAGACTTGACCTCTGGGTTATGCGTTGTAGGCACCCTCAGCCAGAGCTGTGTCTGGGACCGACCACCCTGTCTCTGACACTTTCAACTCATACTTACCTGGCAGGGGAGATACCATGATCAAGAAGGTGGTTCACCCAGGGCGAGGCTTAGCCATTGCACTCCGGTTGTGTCTGACCCCTGCGAATTCCCCAAAGGGGAATCTCGACTGCATAATTGTGGTAGTGGGGGACAGCGTTCGCGCTCTCCCCTGTTATTGTCAAAGGAAAAGAAGGAGTCCTGGGCTGCGCGCAGTCTGTCAACGTCCAGTCAGCGTATGCTTGCGGCAGTGTAAATGTTCACGGGCCCCCCGGTTCCTTTCAGTTTGCCCAGAGAGTGGCAGCGTGTTGAGTAATGCCCAGGGTCCCGATGGCTGCAAGAGGGGTGGTCCTTTTAGGTGGGACAAATGAATTGCGTGTTGGCCTCTCTGAGATTGTTCTTTCTTGTGCAAGAAATGTCCTCCAGGCATGCTTCCATTGCTAGCATGCTTAGGTTTTGGCCTTTACGCGGATGTGTTGCTTTTTCAGAGACAAAAGACACTGCGAATTCCCCAAATGTGGGCATCTCGACTGCATAATTTGTGGTATGGGGGACTGCGTTCGCGCTCTCCCCTGTTATTATGTCAAAGGAAAAGAAAGGACAAATGAATTGCGTGTTGGCCTCTCTGAGATTGTTCTTTCTTTGTGGAAGAAATGTCCCCCAGGCATGCTTCCATTGCTAGCATGCTTGGGTTTTAGGCTTTTCCGCGGACGTGTTTGCTTTTTCAGAGACAGAAAGACTCTGACCTCTGGGATTATGCGTTGTAGGCACCCTCAGCCAGAGTGCTGTGTCTGGGACCGACCACCCTGTCTCTGACACTTTCAACTCATACTTACCTGGCAGGGGATACCATGATCAAGAGTGGTTCAACCCAGGGCGAGGCTTAGCCATTGCACTCCGTTGTGCTGACCCCTGCGAATTCCCCAAATGTGGGAATCTCGACTGCATAATTTGTGGTGTGGGGACTGCGTTCGCGCTCTCCCCTGTTATTGTGTCAAAGGAAAGAAAGGAGTCCTGGGCTGCGCGCGCAGTCTGTCAACGTCCAAGTCAGCGTATGCTTGCGGCAGTGTAAATGTTCACGGGCCCCCCGGTTCCTTTGGCAGTTTGCCCAGAGAGTGGCAGCGTGTTGAGTAATGCCCAGGTCCCGATGGCCGCAAGAAGGGGGTGTGTCCTTTTAGTGGGACAAAATGAATTGCGTGTTCCTCTCTGAGATTGTTCTTTCTTGTGCAAGAAATGTCCTCCAGGCATGCTTCCATTGCTAGCATGCTTAGGTTTTAGGCCTTTACGCGGATGTGTTTGCTTTTTCAGAGACAGAAAGACACTGCGAATTCCCCAAATGTGGGCATCTCGCGACTGCATAATTTGTGGTAGTGGGGGACTGCGTTCGCGCTCTCCCCTGTTATTATGTCAAAGGAAAAGAAAGGACAAATGAATTGCGTGTTGGCCTCTCTGAGATTGTTCTTTCTTTGTGGAAGAAATATCCCCCAGGCATGCTTCCATTGCTAGCATGCTTGGGTTTTAGGCTTTTCCCGACGTGTTTGCTTTTTCAGAGACGAAAGACTCTGACCTCTGGGATTATGCGTTGTAGGCACCCTCAGCCAGAGTGCTGTGTCTGGACCGACCACCCTGTCTCTGACACTTTCAACTCATACTTACCTGCAGGGGATACCATGATCAAGAAGGTGGTTCACCCAGGGCGGGCTTAGCCATTGCACTCCGGTTGTGCTGACCCCTGCGAATTCCCCAAATGTGGGAATCTCGACTGCATAATTTGTGGTAGTGGGGACTGCGTTCGCGCTCTCCCCTGTTATTGTGTCAAGGAAAAGAAGGAGTCCTGGGCTGCGCGCGCAGTCTGTCAACGTCCAAGTCAGCGTATGCTTGCGGCAGTGTAAATGTTCACGGCCCCCCGGTTCCTTTGGCAGTTTGCCCAGAGAGTGGCAGCGTGTTGAGTAATGCCCAGGGTCCCGATGGCCGCAAGAAGGGGTGTGTCCTTTTAGGTGGACAAATGAATTGCGTG